CAGACATCAATGGAGCTTTTTACATCCAAACTAGAAGCCAAGCAATGCCCACCACCAGCCAAGGCACCACAAGCTCTATTTTTTGTGCCACACCTTGAACAGCAGCAAAGCCAGAAGCTGAGTCAATGGCCTCCCAAGAAAAAGTAGCTCCTGCGTAAGGAAAATGATGACAGAGCTGGAAGCCCAGCTAATGGATAGTCCAGCTGATGGAAATGAGTACTGGGGAGAAAGTTGTATGAGTGACGACACCCCACACCTCAGCTTAAGTATTTTAAAAGTCACCAGGGCTCTTACGATCATGTAGTCAGATTTTCTACAGACTAACCTCCACTGACCTTGGTAGTAACCAGAACAAAGAGGCGTTTGGGGCTACTAATTGCAGAACAGCAAGAGTTCATTAAGTAATAAAACATTTTTAAAATGAAGCAAGAAGGAGCATTGCATTCTAATGCATTCTGGGGTTAGCATTTTGCCTTCAGTGCTGTTAAATCATTGAAATAGTGAGTCTGCGAATTTACTGCTTGCTGGGCTAATAATATGTTAAGTTTTATTATCTACAGCTTGTATGCTGCTTTCTAATTACAAGTCTGATACAATAAAAGTGCGATCTCTGCTTATTCTCTCGTGTTGCCTTTATTCTCACCCTCCCCTCCCTGCATGCACCTTGCTGCCCTGCAGCGATCGACTGAACAGACTCGCTCCCCCGTGCAGCACGCAGCCCAGCTATCGTTTCAGTGTGTGTTTGCAATTTTCAGAAATATGTGTAGATTGGAGCATCTGGAATAATGCATTTGTGCAGCGGTGGGAACGGGAGGCTGTGGTCGAGTCGCCAACGCACCCTGCAGCCCGGCTTTAACTTCACGCCAGCGCCTTGGTGCAACAGGAGCGTCCAGACATTAGGGTCCTCTGACACAAAGGCTTTGGGCTGTGTCTAGTTCGCAGGCTGCCAGTTTAAACTGTTTTCCTGGAGAGACAGGGAATCTGAAGACAAGTTTCCCAGCTACCAGCGTCGGGTTCTGCGAGACTGTTGCAGGAGGTGGTTGCGCGTGCTAATGCTGCGCTCTAGTGGCTTGTACAGCTTGCAGGAAATGTCCATGACTTGCGAGGTTGGAGGACATGCTTACGCCTTGGTGAGGCTGGAGGACACGGCCATGCCTTGGAGAGACAGGAGGAAATATGTCCATGCCTTGGCGAGGCTGGAAGACATGGCCATGCCTTTATGAGTTTGGAGGAAATGACCATTCCTTGGTGAGGCTGGAGGAAATGGCCGTGTCTTGGTGAGGATGGAGGAAATGGCCATGTCTTGGTGAGGCTGGAGGAAATGGCCGTGTCTTGGTGAGGATGGGGGAAGTGGCCACATCTTGGTGAGGATGGAAGAAATGGCCATGTCTCGGTGAGGCTGGAGGAAAAGGCTATTTCTTGGTGAGGATGGAGGAAATGGCTAGGTCTTGGAGAGACTGGAGGAAATGGTCATCCCAGGCCCATGCAGCTACTTCTCCAAGATGGATCTAGTTCTTCAAGAGAGGACTTTCTTCCCTGGCTTTGCTTTTTCAGCCTAACACATGTAGTGTCCTTCACTATGCGCTCGTTGTAATGCTTAACAGCTCCCCACTGTAACTCCCTCCTTTATAGCTCCTTGCCCAGTTTATTGGTATTTCTTTGTTACCGTTAAGGGAGCAAGGCTAATTTTACATCACTTGAGGTCTTAACCCAATATCCCAGATCACACCTACCCAATTTACCTTGTTTCTTCTATCTTCTTTTTTTGACTGGCTTGTTCTTCTGCCAAATTACTATATTTGGAGCAGGCGGGGAGCTTTGCATTCCTGGTGCATTGGCTCATGCTCCAAAATGGCTGCGCTGTGTCGGTGCTCCTTTGCATTCCTGACTTATTAAAGGGAAGGTGGTGGATTCCCTAATGTCTCACCTGGCATCTCCTCCAGGATGTTTTTCAGCTTCTCTCTTGGTACTCCCCAGTGCCACAGCCCAGTTTTAACTTCTTTTCCCACCTTCATCTCGTGCTGTTTTCCAGGTTGAGTCAGGCTTGTTAAAAAAGCACGAGAGATTTTCTTAGCTGACGAACGCTGCAGGGCAGGGCAGGGCTGGCTTGTGGGGAGAAGGTGGGTACTACCAGGATACACATGGATGATGACAACAGAAGCACACATTTTTGAGAAGCATCGTCATGGGAAAGCGAAAGGCTCATTAAATTGTTACATAGTGAAAGTTTACAAAGTTGTTATGATGGCAGAGTTAAAATGGAGCCTGACTGGGTTTCTGGGGTTTTTCTTTCTTTCTTTGATTCTGTAGTTTTGGAGTGTACTGATTAAGAGGGTTTAGATATATAGAGATATAGATACTACTGTGTATTGACATGAAAGACAAGTTATTGTTTTAATCGAATAATTAAAGTTCGCCTGGGCTTTCAATAAGTTAGGCAGGTACACATGGGGTTTTGATCAAGGATTTGTTTGAAGGTTGTGCGGTGCCTGCACCCGGATTAGAATAAAAAAAATATAAATGTGAACTACTCAACTTGATTACCAAGGAGGATCGCACTTAACAATGTTTGGAGCTAAAAAGCATTGAAGAGTTATGGCTTTGAATCAAAGAACGAATTTCTGCAGGAGAGGTGCCACAACAAAGCCACATTCCTTGTGGTTCAGGCAATGATGAGCACACTCCATGTTGACCAGCAAGGGTAAGGATTAGCTCTTGCTGGAGAAGCCTGTGGTAAAGGGAGCATTTTACCCTCTGTGATTCTTGCCTGGTGTGGGATTCACCCATCAATAAACCTTGAAACCAGTGGCATAGCTGTACAAGAGTTGCTAAAAATTATTATTCAGTTGCACAACAAAATTATTTATGTACTTTTTTTCTGGGCCCCAAAAACCATGTGGGGTTTCTCTAGTTCACAAGAAACCATGACTTTTAATAAACATATTCAGGAACCGATGCCCTTGGGGTGGGCTTCATGTCAGCCAATGCTGGATGTCGGTGGGGCAAAGCACTCCTCTGAGCTGGGAGTCAGCCAGCAGGAAGAAATGGTCACTTTTGGGGTCTGTTTCATGTGACGGCGTACACATAAAAGCATTGATTAGATCTTCAGTGATTTCAAAAAAATTAATCTCTAACTAGTTTTTTTAATCTGGGCGCAGCGTGTGATAAAAGTTGACTCACTGTGAAAGTCACCCGCAGGACTGGAGGAAGTTTATCTCCTGGAGCTTTTCTTGGCCAGTCGTGCTGCCGGTCACGGCTTTGACAGCTGAGCTTGTTGTGCAAGGGCTGCAATCAAATGTGAGTGTAGCTCATCTTTTCCGCTCATCTGAGAGTCACTGGATGGTGTATTCCCGTTGCTCTGATAACAGGTGATTGCGTTGGGATCACGGGAGCATCAGGACACCAACAGAACTATGTGAGCTAGAATGAGGGTCTCTCTGGATGATGAACCGCACCCACCCAAGGGGGTGATTTGGACTTTACCAGGAGCTCCTATTTTCCCTCAGAGGAGCCAGCACCCTGTGTCCAGCCTGCACACACCACCGACCCCAGCCACTGGGCATCACCAGGCAGATGAGAAGAGCTGGTCAGGGGACTGAAGTTAGAGCAGGACAAGGAGCGGTCAGTGCAGCTCTCATGGCATGAAGCCAATGCCATGGGTGTGCAGAAAGAAGCCAAATATTGGGATGGCCACACAGGACGTTTCCAGGGACTGGGAGACCTCCAGAAAGCCATTCCTGCATGTTATTGGGTGCCCTTCTGCCTTACAAAACCCCTGAGGCAGGGGATGCCACTGCTGTCTGCCTCCCCAAATACCATTCAGTCTTGCCATGCCAGGGAGGATTATACAAAAGGTAATTACTCTTACTATGGGGAGCTGACGTTCAACTACTCATCCTCAGGGATGAGTATATGTATGCTAGTCACTACGAGTGTTGTGCGCAGGCCAGCCTTTGCATAGGAGCTAATAGAACATGTTGTGGGCACCTCATACCTTCAAGGCGCGTTTAGTAGCTATATAAAAGCTCTCCTCCTGTTAGGGCTCGCTGGTCACATCACAAAGCTGTTCTCACCAGGGAGCTGGGTAAGTCTGGTTTATGCTGAGCTTCTGTGGCTGCTGAAATGCAGCTTTATTTCTGCTTTTTTTGCATATTGAAAAATTTTTAAAAACTAGTAGGTTTGAACTGATGTGTTGGAGTGGGAGTGTGCTCTCTTAGAGCATCTGGAGCTGAGCATCTGACTCCAAGAGACACTCCTGAAAAATGTGAGGAAAGTTTGCTAGCAGTAACTGGGGTGCTGCTGTTGGTGTTTGCTTTTGGGGGAGCCTGACAACGGTCGGAGCAGCTTTGGCGTATCAGGGACCATAATTCTAGAAGAGCTGTAAGCAGGTTTGTCTTCAGTTGTGGTATCGCTGCCCTTTAATTGGCTTTGGTTCCCTAATGAGCGTGAACTTTGTGATGCTGGGACAGAGCTGTGAACCTCTGCCTGCTCGCGGTGGGATGTGATCACCAGCAGCGGTGCCTTGGGTGCTGTTTTTCTTTGCTATGGCAGATGTGGCCAGAGGTTCAGAGTTTATTTCTGGGTTGGATCTTTTGCTCGACACATCAGCAAGAGGTCAGAGGCAGTCGCCAACCAAAAGCAGGAGGAGAAAACTGGATTTAAGGGTTGAAAGGCAGCTTTGAGATCAGCCATCCCTCTGCTGACCTCCAAGATCGGTTGTCCCCTTTGGAGGTCCAGGTGATGGTGAGGGAGCTGCAGCCTGGGGAGATTTTTGGTGCTGCATGTCTCTGAATTTCCCCACTGGTTGACTTAGTGCCATGTTTAAAATGATGGGTTGGGTCCTCGGCTGTTGCTGGCGTGGTTTTGAGACCGTAGCACAGGCAGGACCTGTCTCTGTCACCTCATGAACTGGGCAGCAGCGGGACCGCAAGAAACTCAGCCGGGTGCCCATCTAAAGGCTCTGCTTCCTCCCGTGTTGTTCCAGCAGCAGCCTCACCAAGATGTCGTGCTACATACAGCGATGCCTCCCTCCGCTCCACCAGGAACCCCTCCCCGTCAAGTGCCCGCCGATGTACGCTGCCAGACACCCGCCACTGCCTACCTGGCACTCAACACTGTGCACCCCGCAGTACGTGACCCCCTGCGTCCCCCAGCAGCGGATTCTGTCCTCCAGCTTGTCCGAACAGCAGTGTGTGACCCAGTGCGTGCCGCGGCAGCAGTACGCCGTCAAGTGTGTGCCGCAGCAGCAGAGCCTGACCCAGCGCATCCTCCAGCAGCCGTGCGTAACCCGCTGCGTGACAACCTGCGTGCCGCAGCAGCCGTGCGCGACCGACGGCGCGTCCCAGCAGCCTTGCGTGACCAAGTGCGTGCCGCAGCAGTGTGTGACCAAGTCCGTGACCGCTTACGCCCCCCCGCAGCAGAGTGCCACCAAGTGCATCCCGCAGCAGCAGTGCGCGACCAGGTATGTGACCACGTGCGTGCCGCAGCAGCCGTACCTGACCAAGGGCATCCCGCAGCAGCAGTGTGCCACCAAGTGCGTCCCGCAGCAGTGCGTGACCACCTACGCCCCGCAGCAGCAGCAGCGTGCGACCAGGTGCGTGACCACGTGTGTCCCACAGCAGCGTGCAACCAAGGGTGTCTCGTACCAGTTTGTGACCTCTTGTGCCCCGCAGCAGTGTGCCACCACGTACGTCCCACAGCAATGTGCAACCAGGTGTGTGACCAAGTGTGTCCCGCAGCCCTGTGCCACCAAGGGTGCTACCATTTGTGTCCCACAGCAGTGTGAGACAACTTCTGTCCCGCAGCAGCACTGCGCCACCGTGTGCGTGCCACAGCAGCACTGTGCCACCAAGGGTGTCCCGCAGCAGCAGTGTGCCACCAAATATGTCCCACAGCAGCAGTGTGCCACCAAATGTGTCTCGCAGCAGCGCTGTGCCACCCAGTGTGTGCCACAGCAGCAGTGTGTGACCAAGTGTGTGCCACAGCAGTGTGCCACCAAGTGTGTCCCACAGCAGCACTGTGCCACCAAATGTGTCCCACAGCAGCACTGTGCCACCAAGTGTGTCCCACAGCAGCACTGTGCCACCAAATGTGTCCCACAGCAGCAGTGTGTGACCAAGTGTGTCCCACAGCAGCAGTGTGTGACCAAGTGTGTGCCACAGCAGTGTGCCACCAAGTGTGTGCCACAGCAGTGTGCCACGAAGTATGTCCCACAGCAGCACTGTGCCACCAAATGTGTGCCACAGCAGCAGTGTGTGACCAAGTGTGTGCCACAGCAGTGTGCCACCAAGTGTGTCCCACAGCAGCACTGTGCCACCAAATGTGTCCCACAGCAGCACTGTGCCACCAAGTGTGTCCCACAGCAGCACTGTGCCACCAAATGTGTCCCACAGCAGCAGTGTGTGACCAAGTGTGTGCCACAGCAGTGTGCCACCAAGTGTGTGCCACAGCAGTGTGCCACGAAATGTGTGCCACAGCAGCACTGTGCCACCAAATGTGTGCCACAGCAGTGTGCCACCCAGTGTGTCCCACAGCAGCAGTGTGTGACCCAGACAGCAGCAGTGTGTGACCCAGTGTGTGTGTCTGTCCCGCAGCAGCACTGTGCCACCAAGTGTGTCCCACAGCAGCAGTGTGTGACCCAGTGTGTCCCACAGCAGCACTGTGCCACCCAGCATGTCCCACAGCAACGTGAGTCGGGTGGAATAAAAATTTCGAGTCACGCTAAGAAGTACTGCTCTGCGCCCAAATGGCCCTGGTAAAAAGGAGCGGGGAGGAAGGGGGGAAGGAAGTTCCATGGAAAAAGAAAGAAGCAGGTACAGCTTTGGGGCAGGGGTTATTTATCACCTCGTACCACCTGCTGACTATTCCTATTGCTTAAGTCTGTTTTATCTCTGTTTTTTGAGTACTTCCCCTAAAGCTCAGCTGTTTTGGGCCAGGGTGTGATATTATTTCCATGGCTGCACTCCAAGTGCCTGTGGCTTGTACCTTTTAATCTGCTACAAGGCATGGTTTAGTGGGATGCCATTAAATTCTCACCTTATTGAAAATTTTTAAAAAAAAAAAAACTAAAAAAAAAAAGAAATAAATATGTCTAAGGAGTCCATATCACGACAGCATCGATTGGACTGGCAGTGTGGCCAGCGGAGGGCTGGCCCACGCCTGACTCCAAGTTTAGTCCTGGCCTTGGGAGACAATTTTCAGATTAACCTGGATTCTACGAGGACGCGAGTTCTCGAAAAAAAAAGCTATTTTCACTCACAGATTTGGAAGCCAAATGTGAGGTTGTTAAGCAAACAGTATAGAATCTTACTCTTAATCGCCTTCGTTTCGGAAGGTGGCCAGAAACCCTCTCTGCTTTGAAACACTTATTCTGCGTTGACTTCAGTAGAGTCCTCAAACAAGACACGATTTCTGGCTTTGTGAAGTCGGTCTTATGCTGAAATTTTATACGTGAAAGTTTTTATTCACTTGGTTGCTTTGGTTAATATTGAAAACAAGACCTGAAACAAAAGAAAGTCTTTGGAATAACACTGAAAGCTTTAGCGCAACTGTTTTATAAATGTTTGAGCTATAAAAGCGATTAACTACGTTCTTTATGGTGCCTGAAGATGTGTACTGTACACTGCACTGAAAACAAACCATATATATGTATAATTATATATATATGTATAATTATATTATACATATGTATATACTTAAATAAATATACTTGTTTGACCTGAGATTAAATATCTTGTCTTTTTGCCCTCTGGTGGTTCTTCTTTATTAAATACGGCGAACTCCTGTCTGAAAAATACAGAAATCCTGTAATATGCCCTATCATTAGGAGAATGAGTAGTAGCTCACACTAAGTAGATCATGCGTACCTGGAGCGCAAAAACAAGTGTCGCAAGCCAAAGAGGAGGGTGTGACCGGGACCAGGACGCTGCCCCGCGTCCTTCCCCGCTCCACCCTTGCTCGGTGACCTTGGGGTGCCACCGCCAGCTGCCCTCTGAAGCCAAGAAGGTGTTTGAGACTTGAGCAGGGCAACATCCAGCAATGTCAAGGTGGCATCTGAACGATTCTCTGGGGTGCACAGGGTGGGATGGGAAGCAGATCCTTTTCACACCTCCTCCTGAGTGTCCGGTGGTGATGCTTTGTCCTGGAGAAGCAGAATGGAAGAGCAGTGGTGACCGTGGACCTCCTTCTAACTTGCAAAGCCAGGGATGCTCTCACAACCCAATATTTTATCCCCCCTTTAAAACCAATAAATGAGCAATAGTGTGGGCTTCCGAGGAGCTGTCACATCATTGAGGCTTCCCCAGAGGAGCCAGAGCCAGTGGATTGTTAGGAAAATCCTCCCAGGTGGTGGGTAGCTGGGTGGTGGAAGACCTCATCTCATGGGGATGGAGCAGCCGTCGGAGCACAGGGCTTGTTTTCGAGGCAGTTTTGACAGAGTCTGGTTCTGGCTCTGACTCACACTGCGCTGCGGTCACTTGGCAGCGTAATGTGCCTCAGTTTCCCCTGTGCTTAATTGGGAATAATAATAGCCCCCACGACAATGTCCCATGTGGCGCTGTGTGTCTCTCCGAGATGAATGGATGGTACAGATGCTAATTAGTAACACTTGGATGACAGGGCACGATGTTATCATCGGGTTAATATTTTGCTTCCTGCACTGGAAACACTGAAATAAATATTAGCATTACTTGAAGGCTACTTGATCTGGAGCTTGCCCAGGAACTGGATTTATGGAGCTTATAGAAACTGTATTAATCTTCTTACCTACACTCTGACGCCACCTCGATTCCTAAAATCTTGGGTCAGATCATTCACGTTAAAAAGGGCGTTGTAGTTCAGGCAAGTGAAACACAATGAAAGTTCGAGAATTCTGGGCTGGATTCAGTACTTTCATCTTTGGTTGCAGAGAACAGGATAAGCCTAGGGAAAGCACTCTTCTCTTCGGCTCTCGAAATGTTTACATCAACTGGGAAGACATACGCTTTTTCGGTATTTTGTTCCGTGATACTGAGGGAAATTTTTTGTCAGAAAACCAGAAATGTAAGTGACAAACTTCAGGCTTCTGGATTTTCTGGTGAAAACAGAAATAGAAAATGTGGCTCGTAAGCTGGACATCCAATATTTTGCTTCATACCGGTGAGAAAATTTCCCCCTCCTCCATTAAAAGTTAATTTATTTCACCTCTTTTTGTTTCAATGTGTGGGACCTCACCTGAATTCTAAGCATGTTGGAACCCAGTTCAGAGGTGTTGGATTTGCACTAAAGGAAAAAAAAATGAAGGGACCTTGGCTTATGCAGACAAATCTGTGTAAAAATACATTCCCTGTTGGCACTCACGCTCATGGCCACTGTTAATTGTCCCTTGGGTTTACTTGTGGCATAAACAGGGAACAAAGGGAGGGATGACTGGTGCACAGACCGTGCAGCAGAGCAGGAAACACAATTTGTGTTTTGAAGACATGAGCCTGGTTTAATTCAGCCGCCTTTCCCCGGGCTGCCCCGGCTCTCCTGCTTGTCCCTTGTCCCCTTTGTTGTGCCAGAAAAGCGTCACCTCTTTCGGCAGGTCATTCACTTTGTGGCAAGACCTTTTTAGTAGTCGTCTTGCCCTTAGCCCAAGGCTTTTTTGGTCCCAATCATCAGTCTCTTCCCTGGGTTCGCTGTGTAAGTGAAGGAAGTCTGCGTGCCACAGTAATTATGGTCTGCAAAAAGTTGCCGAGAGTCCTTCCTGGATGGTGTTTTCAAAGGCAGCAAAGGGATTTATGCATGCAGCTCCCATGGAAATGAGTCGTCCCTTGGGCAGTCCCTTTGGTGGTCTCAACTGCAACCTTTTTTGGGACGGAAAGCTGCGTTTTAGCCGGATGTGCAACGGGGAGGCAGGGATGCTTGAGCACCATGCATGGGGATTCGTAGCATGAGGACCATGAGCAACCCCTGCATGGGGTGTCCTTGGCCAGCCAGGGGATTTGCTGGTTTGGGACATTGGATCAGGAGATTCCCCGTTATGGAGCTCACAGGTAAGCCAGACCTTCCAGGTGGTGATGGCAGCCCCACAGAGCGAGGCCAGCCATTCCCACTGGCGTGAAGCTGCACGTGGCTCAGCCAGGACTGGTAGGCAATTAGAGCATCACCCAGCCAAACCACCTCACTCCCCTAGGGCACTTATTCACTGTATAAAAGCTCTGCCATCACGGGGCTCTCCTAGGCACTTCTCTTCGGTTGTTCTCACAGATGAAACGGGTAAGTCTGGCTTTTAATGGAGCTCCTGAAATGCTGTTTTATTCCTGGGTGGTCGGAGCAGGCAGAGGTCCTGCTTGTGTACTTGAGGAGAAACATCCTCTGGGGGATGCTGCCTTCAGCACTGCGGCTCTAACAGCTGGAGCATCTTCTCCGTGCTAAACTGAAGAATGCTGGGAAATCACTTCTGGATGGACTGCGAAGTCAGGAGTGGGATTTTTGGGCTTTTCTACGCTTTCTGTTAGATCTCGTTCTAAGGAAGTTATTGACTACATAAAGGGCTCGATGCTGACAGGAGTCAGATATGAGCTTGCACATGAAAGGTCAACTCCTCTAAAGGCAGTGGAATGGAGAAATTTGATGCCATTTAATGGATTTTAAACAAAGCAACTTTTCAGATAATAGTAAGAAGCTGACTGACTTCGGCGCCAATGTGAAAGTCAGCAGAGAGATTCTCTAGCTAAGTCTGAACACGTTAAAATTTCTGTCTAGGCAAACAATGATAAAAATAAGTCCGAGATACAGACAACTCCCTGGAAGTAAATAATCCCCCTGCTTTAGCTTTTTATCTTGATGAGCATCACCAGCTACTTTAACATTATACATGTAGTAGTAATTGCTATCATTGTTTTTCAATAGGCTGTTTTTATTAGTCGATGATTGTTATAATTGTAGTGATAATAAGTTTTCCTAATGATAGTAATACACAACATTGTTATTGCTAATAGTCACCCAGTGATAGGCTTGTGGAAAATAAGATACCTTACTGTAATTATAGACAGAACTGGGGATGATCAGAAAATGACATTTCTTTACAGCTGTTTAATTACATGCCTTAATCTCCAAACAACATAAAAATGAAAAAAACATTTTCAATCAGAGTATATTTCACATGACAGTGGTTTCGGTAGCTGTTCCGCTCAAAATAATCCTGTTAAAAACTCAGACAACTTCCTGAAAGTGGTATTTTCTGGAGGCGGGACTGAAGTGGGAGGGTTTCTCCTGCAAGTTCTGGGGCCAAGGCAAAGCGAGACGATTCACGGCAGATTCAGGAGGGAGGTGGGGACATTGAGATTGTGCCACTGTGTCCCTTCCACAGGGATGCTGTCTTGGCTAGACTCCCCTCCGTGCTGCTCGCACAGGGGCTGCCAGGATGAGGTTTCACCCTCAGAGCTATGACACTAGGAAGTTTGACAGAGGGTCTTTGAGTTATCATAACAAAACTGGGACGCTATGGCTTGGTATGACTGTAGTGCAGGACTGGAAGCTGATTTAAATGGGTATAATTCTCCCAACTCGATGAAACTCGATGAGTTAACACCTGCTGAGATTCTTGATAACTTCTCCTTTCGTGCTATGGTTTCACCAAATTCTTAGAAACAATCCTGTTGTATTTCCTCTTTTGTCGAAGCTTTTTACGCAATAGTATAAAGGTGGGACTGCAAAGCCTGGAGAGCAAAGCTAATGCTATGATAGCAAGCTCAGAGCCCCATAATCACATGCTGCCAGCCCAGCAGACCCCTGTGGGACCGTGAATCAGCCGGCAGGCAAGCAGGCAGGTCGTACGTGCTGAGCGCCATGCTGTCACAAACCTGTCCTTACCCTCAGCTAGCTAAGTTAACCTCAGCTTGGGTTTGCCCCGTGAGCTGCAGCCACACCTGAGTTATTTTACAGCATGGACACACCTTTAATTTTGGCTTGCCTTTCATCTCTGGTTCTTGGGAATTGCAGGACATACACTTGAAAGAACATCCCAGTGGGGATGCAGGAGGTTTCCAGGAAGTAAGAGGGATGTCACTTCTCCTCGGTGAAATGCTTTGACGAACACTGAGCTGGTCTTTGAAGGGCGGCATGAAGACTCTCCAGTTGGACAGGCTCCAAACCCCTGATTGTTTCTGGGCTCTAAGAGAAGGGTGTGGGGGCACAAGCTGAGAACAGACTCTCCTCTCCTCACCTGGGTAATCACAGCCTGTTCCTGAGTCACCGAGAGCCTCTGACCTTCAGGAGGGCTGCGGGGCGTGGGCTTGCTGTATAGAGATGACTGTGGGAAACTCAAAGTCCTGTGTCACAAAGAAATAGCCGATGCCTATGTGAACTGTCTGTCTTTTTCCTGCTTCTTTCAGGCACACCACCTTGCATGACCATGCACTATTACGGGGACCGGTATAGACACCTGTACCTGCCGGGGTGGGGCTATAGCACCGAAAACCTCCACCAGTGCATGCCCCACTCTGATGCATGCAGTACCACGTGCCACCCACTGAGCGTGACCAAGACCCCGATGACGAGATGGCAAAACTACGCTCAAACTTACACTTACGTGTGCCCGCAGCCAAGCGTGACCCAGACTCTGCCCCTGCATTGTCAACCCTACGTACAGCAGTGCATCCTGCTGCACCCTGAGCCTTGCGAGACCGCTCACCTTCTGCCCTGCAGGAGATTCAGCCTGAGCACGGTGCACGATTGCCAGCCCTGCGAGAAGAAACACCACGAGAAAAAACACACGGCCAAGAGCCTCCCGCCGTGCGCACCCAAGTGCCCGGTGCCGGGCAAACTCAAGTTCCCACCGTGTGGGCTCAAATACGGGCCCTCCTACGAGGAGGAATGCAGATCGCACAAGATAACCCACTGCTCAGGGCGGGGGTGCTGTGCCGAGCACCGGTCCCCGCAGGGGATGACCAACAGCTATTCCCCACCCCTGCGGGGAGTCACCGAGTGCCCCCCACAGCCCTGCATAATGCAGCCGTTGCCACACGAGAACGTGAGCAGGTTCCCCCCGCAGAAGTGCATGAAGGGCTACCCGACGCAGGAGTACATCCCCTCCTCGCAGCAATGTGCCACCAAGTGCCCGCCGCGGCCGCAAGCAATCAAGTGCCCCCCTGGGCAGGCAATAAAGGAGTGCTCCGCGCAGCACCGCGCAGCCAAATGCGTGCTGCCACAGGAGGGAGTCAAGCACAAGAGCTCATCCACGCACCACTTAACCAAGACCAAGTGCCTCTACCCCGGTGCCACCCACCGCTCGCCGCAGCATCACGTGAGGGCAGTGAAACATTCGAGCCACCCCAGGAAGAGTCGCTCTGGGTCGAAATGGCTCTGGTAGAAGAGATCAAGAAGTCGCCGTGAAAACAGCAAGCCATGTAGCTGAGGTCTGAGGTTATTTTTCTCCCCCTGTTCATGTTCCTAACCCCCAAGAGAAGCTTTTGCCCTATTTTACCCCTTATTGTATCCATAATAAACTCCTAGAGTGCATTGCCTTCCTTTTGTGCCTACACTTGTTACTCCTGCAGCCAAAAAGATGTTAGTGAGAAGTTAAGTAACTGTGAGCGGGTGCTCAGACTTTGAACTTCACGCCAATACAACTCTGTTACAGTGTTCACATCCCAAGAGATTTTTACTGTTACTGGATCAATTGTATTTGCTGGTTGTACCGGTCATATTAAATCTCAGGTTGCAGCTGGATTCCTGCTCTCTGTCTGATTAATTTTCCATTTTTAAAAACTGTTTTTAATGCCCACTGCTGGACAAAAGTACTCCCTGTTGCTATATCACTCCTTTGTGTAAAATAATGGCAGCAATCATGCTTTTAGGACTAGAAACATTTACCATCTGTGGGAAAAGATCTTGGTATTAAAAGGTTACCCAGGGATGTAATAAAAGAAGCAGTGGGGAGAGTGGCATTTAGCAGAAGGCTTGACTAAAATAATAAGACTCATTTGCAGTCTTCAGACAGGAGCTTGCTGCCCATCCAGGCTTAGCTCGGTTGCACGAGGGTCACAGGGGAGCACACCTCGTTTGCACATGGGTCACAAAGGAGAGTTTTCAGTCCTGCACCCTAGGACCAGGGCGGGCTTCCCCCAGGTGTCCCCTGCTCTGCAATTTTGTCCCTGAACAAGCCACTGCTGAGCAGGTTATGAAACGGGTTATGTGAGATAGTCCCTGGCATAGCAGGGGGGTGAGAGGACGCTGCAGAAGGTCTCTTCTGACGCTGTGACCCTGAGCTGGCCCCAGCTACATCGGATGAGTGGTCAGCATCAATAGCCCATGGTTATAAAATTGCAGCCAGAGAGAAAACTCACTTTCAACTCCAGCTGTTCCTTGACCCTGACATTTTCCTAGACAGCAGGAAATAGTTATCATGCTTGGTCAATATTTTGATTTCCTAGGTATAGATACGTAAGGGGATAAGTCCCAAAGCACGTTTCTTTGCCCATCTACCCTACACCCCAGTCTCTCCCGGGAGGCATCCCTGGGGCAGCGCTGGGGAAGCAGAAGCATTTCTTTGCCCACCTGCCCTACACCCCAGCCTCTCCCGGGAGGCGTCCCTGGGGCAGCGCTGGGGAAGCAGAAGCTCTCTGCCACCATCTAAAGGTGCAGTGGGAGATCCAGCAGCTCCTCCCGTCTCTGCTTCACTGCCTTGCTCTGCTCAGCCAGTTTCTTGGGCAAATCCCAGCAGGAAAACCTCCTCTGACCTCCTCTGCAGCACCCCAAACAGACCGAGCAGGATTTTCATAGACTCCCTTTTCTAATAAAGTGAGAGATTTACCCGTAAAAACTGAGACTGATGCTACCAGCAGTCCTCCAAGTTTAGGAGTCTTGCTCCACTTTAACTTCTAGTAAATCACTAACTGGGGGGAACTGAAAGAGAGGAAAGGCCTGAGCAAGTAGCTCTATCCTGACTGCCTCCCGTGGGATCAACCCCTTTCTTATACCGGGTCTATGTAAAACACGGCTCCTCTCTGCCCTCGCTCACCCCCAGACACCGGCATGCCCAGGACAGGCAGCGAGGCCCCGAGGGCTGCGGTCGTTAGAGAGAGGTTCACAATTAGGGCTCAGACCATGACCTGGGGAAGTTCTGCCACCTGCATTTATCCCACTTACATGGTTTAAAAGGCTCTGCTGACCTCAGTCGCTCTTGGTCCTGAAAGGATCCAGACTGCCCTTCAGTTATCATGGGGAAGATCGCGCTGATCAACGGAAATGAGTTTCTTTTAAAAAACCTGAGCTTCTGTTTCTATGATTTTGCTCCTGATGAAGGAGTTGTGCTGACATGACAATATAAAAAGCTGATATCTCAAAGCAACCACTAAATGGTGCTTGAACTACTCTCCCTCATCAGACAGATTAGCAGGTGGGATCTGCTCCTGGAGAGGTCATGAGCTCTGAAAAAAAAAAAAAAAAAAAAATTACCTGGTGGCCCAAGAGGTGATATGAAGCAGTGCTGCATCCTTGTGGCAGTGAAAGCCAACGGCAGGCTGGGCTGCCTGAGTCAGAGCCTACCCAGTGGCAGGAGAAATGCTTTGATTCACCTCTGGCTGGCACTCAGGAGGTCACATCCAGCCCTCCGTGTCTGGTTTTGGGTCATCAGCGTAATAGCCACGGACCACCAGGAGCAAGTCTGGTGGAAGCTGCCAAGGTGGTTGGGGCAGAGGGTGGAGGGGGAGAGAGGTGGGAGAGCTGGGGATGTTTTCCCTGGAGAAGAAAACACTGAAGGGACAGTTTGTTACTACCTTTACCCACCAAATCAGTGCTTAGGACAAAGATGGTCTCAACTCTGCTGTGAGGTATGAATTTGGGGTCTGGCTTTTCGGATAACTTTGTGCCTGGCTTTTGGATAACTTGTTTTTTTGTGAGAGGATGGGGAAAATAATCCCCACGATTAGAGTGGTGAGGTGAGCTTTCCACACAATGAGGAATGACAAAACACTTCAAAAATACTCATTACTGTTTTATGCATGCAAAATGTGTTATCGTTATAATATTAATAGTACGTTAGCAGAGAGAAACACCTCGGGGCTGAGTAATGGCACCTTTAGAATATGCATTTTTTGATGGAAGTGTCCCAGCTGTTCTCATAAACAGGATGTTGCTTTCGAGCCTTGACAATTCAAGGCGTTCTGCATTTTCATTGAACAATGCATTTCTGTTTGCATTCAAAAGCAGTAATTTCAAAATGGGTTAAGGCAGCAGCTTCGGCTAAGCCTGTGAGAATTGAATGTGTGTCTCTGAACTCTGAGAATCCACCTGAATCCTTGGCAAATCAGTGAGGCTCTGCAAAATTCAGAAATTCCTGAACATCCGTAGCCATGTGATTAAAAACTTTTCCCCGTGCTTAATTCTCTCTTAGAGAACTTTCAGCCCATGACTTCTCTCGTCCTCAGCAGTGAAAATGGCAGTTAAACTCTTTCACTTTGGGATTTACCTTTTATCTGCAGAAATTATTACCTTATCTCCTTCCAGCCTTCTCTTCTGTAAGCGGCCATCCTTCGAGGTTATGTTTCTTAGCCTTCTGATCGTGCATGAAAATTGGAGCCAGACACTGGGCAGCTGGTCAGTACCTAGAGCAGGAGTGGGGATTCCCAAGCAGAACGACATCCTCCAGGTGAAGCTGTGACAACAGCCAGTGGGAAAAAAAAAAAAAAGGACAGGAAGCAAATAAGCAAATCAGTCTCATTGCAAGCAAAGAGCAAAAACGGGCTGTCTGCAAAATTCTGTTCTCCACTCCTGCCTCCTCCAAGCCACTTAATAGGATGAAACACACGGTGCCTCCAACTAAATGCTATCGTGGATTTAGAGGAATAAATTGAAGTCCCACACCTAGCAGCAGGTACACCCAATACGTCTGCAATATGTCGTCTGCCATCTGCAAGCCGCTGCTCACATGGCCAATTTTAAGTCAAAGCTGAAGAAACTTTGCATTCCTACGTTAATGCAAAAAGAAGCTATAGAATGACATCAGCAATAATTTAGACCAGAAAGATATAATATGAAGGGAACCCCACAGCAGGTAACAGTATGTACCATAGAAAATTGAATAATGGTGATAAACAATGTTAAAATAATTACAGTAATTATGTGTGTTACACATGCGGGAAAAATTGTTTGGAAAGTAATTAAGACCTCACACACAAAGATTGTCTCAACTTCCTGGAAGTTCAAGAAAGCCTATAAAACTCAAAGGATTCAGGGATCCTCTGGTCGCTTCTCTTGACTTCTTCCTGGACAGCAGGTAAGTCCCATTAACCTCAGTCTAATTAATTATATTGAGTGAAACATTGCTTTAACATGAGCTGGGGTTCAACAGTGAGCCACTCTGTGGTTTCTAAAAATCTTAATAAGATTCTTTCTAGAAAAGGCTGCTAGAAATTATTTAGTTGTATGCTTGGACTGTGTTCAACCTTATAAAATATGTCTGGGGACTGGCATTCTTATTAAAAAAATAAGCATGATCATATTATTATCAGTTAACTGTGTATTGCTATGTTGTATCCAACGTGAAAGGCATTTTAAGCTCTTTTCAGGTAGATCTTAGATAACAGTATTTTTTCATTAAAAGATTGTAGATCTGAGATGTTCAAATTCATTTTCCGAAAGTTTTCATTCATAAATAAGCAAGATTTAGATTTCAAAAGGATAAAAAGGGACTAAAATCTTCCTACCTCGGATTGTGCCCAGCACAATCTCAGCAGAGGCACAGGAATCCCATAACACATGATTATCCTAACGAGGGCTGGGCGTGCGCTATCACTGAGACAAACAAACAATCGAGGGAGAGGACATTCTCCAGTATGGGGACATCAAGTACCCATTTCTATATGACTGGAAACCTCAAGGCACCAGTAGCGGAGATGCCGAACTCACTGGCCACAGCTGCAGTACCTCTCCAGTTGTCCTTGGTGGCTGCCCAGACAGGATCTGTGATCTGGAGAAGGAAAAGAGGTCCTGCACGGGTGGAGATGTGCCCAACCGTGGCACATACCTCACCCTCCCTGCAAGGAGAACAGGAGTGTGGGGTCTGTGGGGTGTAGGGTAGGGCATGGGGGGCAAACACTGAGAAACACTCCTGTGGTCTCCATTCTGTGCTGCAGGTTCGCCACCATTTCTCCCAGATGTCCTTCGGTGGGGAGTGGGACCGAGGACGGTGTTCCGATCCATGTGATGTGCAGTGCCCACAGCCTCTTGCTACCAGCTGCAATGAGCCATGTGTTGTATCCTGCGCTGCCACCAGAGTCATTATATACCCCCCTCCCGTCGTTGTGACATTCCCAGGGCCCATCCTCAGCACGTGCCCGCAGGAGACGGTGGTGGGAAGTTCTGCAGTCT